GTCGCTGGTGTCGGAAGCGGTGCACTCTCCTGTGCCTTGCAGCAGCACCTCATCGGATTGTGTCGTCGTCGGATCGTCATCTTGCACTTCCAGCAGCATCCTAGACCGCATTGACACGGCGTTTTATTCGGCGGACGAGTTTGCTGAGTGCGCGAGAAATGCAGCGGGCTTGAAGGCATCACTCGCATCGCAGTGCGCGACAGAACGTAAGTTCGAGTTACTAGATATTGATCTGGAAAATGGTGGCAAAGAAAACGGGACAGAATTTGTTATTTTTGATCTGGCGGCGATACGCTCATTATTCGGACTTGTCGCGTGCCCAGAATGCGGTGAAAGGAGCGTCACTATTTATTTCAAAGGCCAAGAAAGAGTATGGGCTGTGTTCGAAGCTCATAGTCACGTGCGGCAGTTGTGACTTTCGCGAAGAGCGTTTTTCGTCCCCACGTATAGCCGACGAGACCGACGCCAAAATAAGGCCGTTTGAAGTTAATGTGCGGGCCATCAAGGCTATCAACAGTATCGGCAAGGGGGCAACGGCTTTGTCGAACTTCTTCGCTGGGATGAATATTTCGCATCGAGGGCTCCACCACAAGAGTTACCAAAGCCACATGAATATAATGAAAGAAGCCTGCTGTGCGACTGCTGTTGAATGCGAAGCGGCAAACGTTGCTTGCGTCAAGGAGCTCTATGCGGAGTTCGGCAACGCGCCTGGAAACGTCGACGTCATTTATGATGGCACCTGGCTTACGCGTGGACATAGCTCGCATATATGTGTTGGCTGCATTTTTGAGATGTATAGTGGCCTCGTGATAGACCATATCGTGCTATCGAATTTTTGCCTGGCTTGCACCACAGGACCCAAGGAAGGAGAAGCAGGACATTCTGCCTGGCTCATTCAGCATGCCCCTCTGTGTCAAAAGAATGTTGATTGTAATGCTGGCCAGATGGAAGTGGAGGCAGCATTACGCTTGTTTGAGCGGTCACTTGAAAAGCACAAGCTTGGTTATACGACAATGCTGTCAGACGGCGACAGCAGGACATTCCATGCACTCACAGAAAAAGAGGCGTACGGCTTCATAAAGGTGGCCAAAAAGGACTGCATAAGTCATGTACACAAGCGTATGGGAGCTGCCTTACGTACCCTTGTAGAGAAAAAAAAGCTCAAGGTGGCTCACTTGGTGGAAAAGGCAAACTTACGCAACAAAAGATAAAGAAGATCACCTCATACTATGGCTACACATTGAGAAGCCACAGGAACGATGTTCCAGGTATGCAGAAGGCTGTTCTAGCAACTTTCAACCACGTCTTCAACTGACGAGGCACCAAAGCATGACCTTTGCCCTAAAGGCCCTGAATCCTGGTGCCAATTTCAGAGAACTCTTGCGAAAAATGAGAAGCCGCCACCACACAAGGACAGCCTGCCTGATTTCGTAACAGAGGCATTGGAGCCTGTGTTTAGGCGGCTGAGCGACAATGCCATCTTGGAAAGGTGCAGCGATGGGATCACCCAGAACCCAAGTGAGAGCCTGCACGCTATGATTTGGCAGCAGGCCTCCAAAACTCAGGCATGCATCCTTGCGGAGCATTGAAAGGGCAGTTGCCGAAGCTATCAGCCACTTCAACCAAGGCACAACCAAGAGCAACGTGGAAATTGCCGAGAAGCTGGGCTACAGTGCTGGCAATAACTTGGTGCCTCGCAGCCTTGAGAAGGACAAGGGCAGGCTGCAAAAACCGCAAAGAGAGCATCTCGACAGCAGTTCAATAAAGGAAAGACTTTCAAAGCGTCACTCTGCCTACAGCCCTGGTCTGCTGTAAACAGTCATGATGGCAAATAGTGAGAATTTTTGCAAAAATAAATATTCTTGGTTTTAGACCCAAACATTGTGTAAATCTATTGTAAATCTATTGTCCAAGGACAACATTATTACATGATTTTTTTGTGTTCCTTTCGCTTGTAAGGCACTGGAACGACCACAAAGTAAAAAAATAATGCTCATGCTGAGTCAATGACTATTTTATAGTTCTAGAATAAGCTGTGAGCAGTATTCTGGGTGGTGCAGTGAAATTTAGCATGGTCATTTATCCTATAATACAGAATTATGTCATTAATATTGCTGTAGCTTCAAATGCGTTTTCCTCAGTTCGATGTTTTTGCACATTGCACTCGGCCTTACAGGGGTTTTTCCTATGTTAAACTTGAGTGAATGCGACAAAGTTGGTATCATTTTATTCGTCTTGACATGATCCTGGCGGTGATGCCATTTCTATTTCTCTAGCATCACTTCAAAAATTACCATTGAAGATTTTAGTGAGAGAAATTTATTGTAATATAGTGACCATAAGTGTTCGTCCGTTTTCTTGCTTATAAAATGCCTTCAAATTGATAAAATAGCATCACCCCCTACAGCAAGTCTTCAACATAGGGATTATGCATTCGCTTTTAGGATTTAGCAAGAATAAATTGCCAAGAAGTCTCGTAAGAAGTATGCAATTAATTAAGATTCACACCTCCATATTTCTAAACCACTTGAAATATTAAGAAACAAATTAGAGATTTGAAATCACCATGAAAAACTAGCTTAGGTAGTGAAGTTTGGTTCATCATCATCATCATCACCCTGACTATGTTCACTGCAGGACAAAGACCTCTCCCATGTTCCACCAGTTAACCCGGTCCTGTGCTTGCTGCTGCCAATTTATACCCGCAAAGTTCTTAATCTCATCTGCCCACCTAACCTTCTGTCTCCCCCTAACCCGCTTCCCTTCTCTGGGAATCCAGTTAGTTACACTTAATGACCGGTTATCCTGTCTACGCGCTACATGCCCGGCCCATGTCCATTTCCTCTTTTTTATTTCAACTATGATATCCTTAACCCCCGTTTGTCCCCTAATCCACTCTGCTCTCTTCTTGTCTCTTAAGGTTACACCTACCATTTTTCTTTCCATTGCTCGCTTTCGTTTAAGTTTGGTTAAGATTGAGCAAAAAATAAAAAAAAAGCATTTAGAACCCACGTCCCCCCTTAACGTCGCGCCGTGTCGACATCTATGGTGGCGGCCAATTTTTGCACAGCCACGAAATTGATGTCGGGGCCTTGTTCTGTGTTCAACAAAATTCGCTGAAGAAGCCTTGATCGGTATACGTGCTTTAAGCTGTTTGATGACTCCTTGATCTGAAGGCTGAATAAGCGGCATGCAGTGTGGAAAAAAACTGCACTGCAACATTCATCAGCTTGACGTTGCTGTCCAGGCGAAGTGCTGAGAAATCATCCAGCAGCAAGCAAACACTGTGGTTTTGCTTTTTCATGTCGTTGTTGAGCGTAACGATCCAGTCGGTGAAAATGGCCCTCATCATCCATGGACAACTGTTGGCAACATACTTCACTGGCAGGTTTTTCGTGCCCTTGAAGCACTGCGGCTTGGCATTCTTGCCAATAAGAAGAAGGAGCTGTTCGTCAGACCCATCCTTATTTGCACCGAGCAATACGGTGACTCGCTTTTGCTCTGCTTGCCTCCGTGGCACTGTTTGCCTTTGAAGTTAAATGTCTTTGCTAGTAGCATTTCATAGAAGAGCCCTGTCTCGTCCGCATTGTACATGTCGGATGCAGTGTACTTCATGATGATGTGTGCGCAGTGTACTTCATGACGCGATCCACGATGATGCACTGTCGCAGTTAGCAGAAGCTGAAGCTCTCTACACAGCACCTTCGTGATGATCTCATGGCGCTCCTTAAATCGGTTGAGCCACCCGGCACTTGCCTTGAAGTTTTCATTGATGCCTAAAATGCAGGTGTAGTTCAGTGTTTTCTGCTGCATTAGGCTACCGCTGATAGGTATCTTTTTAGCCCTTGTTTCGCAAAACCAGGCAAGTTCTTCATGGGCTGGCTGGGTCGTCCTCTTTCGTTGGGCAGATGCGCCCGACGCTCGAGCACTTAAGATGCTTCTTCGGACTTCAGTATCGCTGACAGCGAGCTCGATGAGATACTGTATTCCTCGGTGATACAATCCTTTTTTTGTCCTGCTACTGCCGTGGCCATTATTTTTTCCTTCTACTGTAGTGAAAGAAACTTCGGGTTGTTATTCTGTGGCACTGCCATAAACTTAAGAAAAACAAAAAAAAAACCAAAAATGCAGCTAGAAGCTAACAAGGTGCTGGGATTGGACTACTGACCTACTGAGCTAATGAGACAAGGCACGAGGTGGGGACTAACCAGGAATAACGCTGCTAACGCCACAGAACACAGGGGAGAGGGGACGACGGATGACAAGCCAGCAGCTAATATTCAACGTTTGGCTCGGCTTCAGCTGGCCAAGCTTGCAGGCTTTCGCGGCATAATTTTGGGCGTCACCGAACGCTGCGGAGCATCATCATCAACCGCAAACGATGGCGTCTCACATGGTGTCACGGTTTTGGTGCACTTGGCAGGTTACATGGACATTGGTTAACTTTGGTGCGTTTACAATTGTTTCAGCTGTCCGATAACCAAGAACATGCTTAATGTATGCTCTGAATGTTGGCCAGCTAATAAGAATTTTTGTTAGAGACTGTGCTATAAAAACAAAATGCAAAGACAGCCTCTGTCGTGTGTACTTCTTTTTTCGTGCTGATTTAAGTATAATAAAGGGTTGTCACTTCAATTTACTAGTTAGCGTGGTTCGATTTGTGGCTGGTCGAGTAACTCACTTGGTACATTTGTGACCTAGCTATGACGGCATTATGTGAAGTGACGTCATGATGACGTCATAGTGACGTAACAAATTTTGGCTACCTGTGCGTTTGATGTGACGATTATTATGTCATCACTCATATTGCCCATGATGCTTCGGAACACCGACGATCAATTTTCGCGTTTTATGACGCATCTACGCTTTCACCCTAATATTAGTATATCCGAGTTTAAAATACATCCGTGATCAAGTGTCAGCTTTTTGAAACCATGTGTGGTGCTTTCCTTTGTGTGGGTGGTATTCTGTTGAAACTCATCTTATCCTAAATTTTGCAGAGAGGCGGTGGCGGGCCTTCCCGAGGCGGCTACCGTGGTGCAGCACCGCACATAGACCCTTGGGTGACACCTCTCTTTCCCATGCACGCTCCAGGCCTTGTGCGATTTGGGACACAGTCTCCACCGCAGCGACCTTTTCTCCCACCAGCCATGGCCAGCACAGAGGGACCACGTGGCAAGATCTTTGTGAACCCCCAGTTTCGCAATGGCGCTTCTGGACTCAGACCTGGTGTCCAAAATGAAGGTACACACGGATGCCCAAATAGTCTGTGACTATGGGTGCTGCCATCCTCGATTTTGGGTGCTAAGCAAATTCGAATATTAAAGTTTAAGTGTGAATTGAGTAGAATATTTTTGAATGTTTCTTTTAAATATTTTTCTAAAACTTGGAAGCGAAATGGCACAAGAAAAAAAAGATGCAGAGGATTTCTAAGCATACATTCGTGAGATAGCAACATGAAAGCATTTTTTTTAGCTAGATTAGTGAATCCCTGGAGGGATGTTGTCTAGTGGCCTGATATCAAGAGGATGAACTGTATTTATTCCTTTACGTGATTTGGGGCAACCAGTTTTGTGCTGAGGACACTTTGGGGGTGAGAGGAAAAGACACCATTTCCTCTGACTCTCCTCCTTCGACTTTTGTAGAGGCTCGTCTTGAACACACAACGGCCCTTTCCCTTTGAGTTTAGAGTTCCTAATGAACCGCATAGCCATCAATGTATAAAAACATCCGACTTTTCAGATGCTAAAAATCTTCACCTGACTTTTTTTTAGAATTTTCTGGTCAGAAATGGCATTAACTTAAAAAGGGAAAGTTCGTTTTATGTTAAGGGACCAAATGGGTTGTGACTCTGGCCACATTACCTACTCGCAGTGCTGTTGCTTGCAAGGACAGCACAGAGCCTTACCTCACTAAGGATTAGGATGTAGATAGCTGGCGGATCTGCCTTTAGAAATTTGCAGGCAATTGCCCCGCCTGGTTTTCTTGTTGCTAGTTGTATTGTACTGATGTTCTTTTCTTTTTAAGCGCGGGCGTGCTCTTAGAAAGTAGCGTGTAGCATGACGTAACTCTAGCTGGCAGCCTGTGTGCTATTCAGTATGCAGTATTGTACCGGACTTCTATCTCACTGCACCTCCCCACAACATAATTGTCCCTCATCACCAGTCACATGCTAGGTCTGTGGCAGTCAAAAACTTCAAGAGAAGTTGCGACACCTGCTTTCTGAAAATCCGGCCAAGGAGCGAAAACTTAGTAATAGTTACACGGTTGCATGGCGAGCCTTAACGTTGTACAGTTAAACCTGGATATAACGAAATTGCTTAATTCCCAGAAAAATTCGTTTTAAAGAGGATTTCGTTATATGCAGGTTCGGTACAAAAATTCGGAAAGTAAACGCACAAATTAAACAAACGGGGGCTGAAGGCAGAGCTGACCCAAAACAGTTATTTTACAGTAAAAAATCTGCGTTATTATTGCGATAGAAATCATAGGCGAGCTCTTCCCGTTGCCGCCATGTTTCGTAACAAGTCCAAATTGATAACGTGGCCCTGCGCATCGTAACTTTCACGGGCAGGTAAAAGTCCTCGAGCGTTGCTGAAGCAGAGATAAAATGAGTCGGCCAATCCCCATTGCCTGGAAAGTGCATAAGATAACATCTCCTGTGTGTTAGAACTGCCGTTGAATGCTCAAACAAAAAGTAAACCACCTGCATTGAACGAGCATGAAACAATGCGAGGGGGGGGGGGGGAATCGCCCGAGTAGCGATAATGAACTTTGATTTTAAGGGCGGCAGCTCGAAGGCGTGTAAAGGCAGCTCGTGGTATTCCTGCGAACAAAGATTCTGCATCAGCGTCACGAGAACTTCAAGGGCCAGTTCTCTGCGTTCAAGGTCGACAGCATGAAAATTCGAAGGAGCAATGCCTAAGACGTGCTGTGTGACGGGCTGCAGCACCATATACAGGCGAAAAAAGGAAAAGGCGTCGCTCTTCTGTTTCCCCAGTAGCGCCGAACATCGGGAGAAATGTAGATTACATTTCTTCACGCGAGAAAAAAACAAAGCCTCGCGGGCAACTGTGCGTGGTTCATGCCCGGCAAGTGGGGCCGGAAGCCATAGTGTTAAGCATAATGACTGTGTATGTTCTTGGGCTGCAGCGTGCGCTGCTTCGTTTCCCGCCATCCCTTGATGCCCCAGGATCCAGGTGACGTAGGACAGAAAGCAGGACGTGAGGGGACAGAAAGCAAAAAACTTGACTGAGTTCCCATCCCCCTCCCCTTACAAGGCACCGAGTGTGTAACATTACTGAACACAGCCATAATAGTTTCTAGTGATTCTCTTCTCCAAGGTGTTGTTCTCTATGTATTTTGTGTAAACGAAACATGTTTTCAGCTTGCTCCTCATTAAATGCACCTGATGGGAAGCTTCCATTCATAGGTACACACCTAAATACTCAGCGGCGTATCATTAGTACCAAATTTCAGATTCATTGCATGCTTTAAATCGTAACCCTGCCCCCTCCCCCAAGCATAAAAAAGTATGGTATGGTACCTAGGTAGTGGGGCAAAGGTCGCCGAGCAGCTAGCACTGGCATCGAAAGAAACTTCCAGATTAGGCTGTTGTACTTCCCTTCCCAAAGAAATCGTGGGTTGCCGGCCGGTAATTAATGCTGCTCTAAGCAGTAAACATAAGGAAACTGTCAAGAGACGGGTGTTTGACTAAATTGCGTGTAAAAAAGGGATCACTCAGATGTTAGGCACGTGAAACTCGTGCCTATTCAAGAGGCACCCTTAAGGGGGGACGCGGCCTTTGAAAACCGAAAAATCGCGAAAAAGTCGATTTTTGGCAAACCACATATTCGGGCAGTATGTGTCATAAACTACCTTTTCTGTAAATATCAACGTCTAATTCGTCGCGAAACCATTTGAAATAAAGTTTAGAACATGCCGCGGCGGCCCTCGAGCGGCGCGCGAGCGCTCAAAATACCCCAACTTGGCGTGATCGCAGTTTCTCGACCGCTCGACGGAGCGCCGCCATTTTGGTGTTGTTTTGTTTGTGAATTCTTGCTCTTTCTTTCCCCGCCACCTGCGTCGCCGGCGGCAACGCAGGAGAGGAGCAAGCCGCTCATGAGGGCTCGCGAGAGCTTTCAAGTTTCCCGCGGTTGAGGCGCGCAGCTGGGATCGGGCGAAGCGCGCGCTCCCCAAGGACGCGGGGGAGCCCGCGACTGCCATTGGCTGCTGCGCGCGATGACGTAGTGCTCTTGCGCATAATGCGGCCGATGCGGCCGCTCGTCTGCTGCTCCTCCGTCCTGCGTCTTTGTGTTTCGCTCGCTTCCGTGTATCGTTGCAGCCGTTCGCATACTCTCCACGTTTCAACTGTCTTCGAAACGATTTTCAACCGTCTTTACGAGACGATTTTCAACCGTCTATACGAGACCGTTGTTGTGTTCGCTCACGATGCGCCCAACGAAAAAGAAGACGCTACAATCGTTCGGGCAAGGAAGCGAGCTATGAAGCTTGTCCGCGCGGCGAGGCTCTCCGCTCGCACGTGCGCCGACGGTGATCGCGCCGACGGTACCTGTGGGGCAGCTTCTGCTTCATCTACGCAAGAGAGTGGTCGCATCGACGCGCCTAGCAACGGGACTCCTGCTCCGCCGGTGCAAGAATTTGTCGTTACAAGTGCGCCTGGTGTCTCGTGCTCATCGACAGTGGCTTCCGCATCTTCTCTTTCATCGGCCTCGAGTGCGATCGCGTCGTCAACTGTGCATTTGCAAACAAGTTTCCTGACGTGCGAGGAGAAAGAGGCAGCGGATCAACAACGCGCTGCTGTGCAAAGAGAACTTGGCGCTATGTCAGTGACGGAGCGGAAATTTCAGGCAATGGAGCGCGATCATGAAGCTGCCACCGCTACAAGTGAAGGCGCAAAATTTTTCCTTGTGCAAATGGATGCCCTAGACGACCTGCTATCTCGGACTCCGTGCCACCGGTGCACCGCGATTGGGATGAAGGTACGAGGAGGCACCCAACTTGGACTTGCTGCAAAGCTTGAGCTAGTATGCTTGCATTGTGGAGTAGTTTCAAACTCATAGAGTTCATCTCGTCAGGATGACAGAAAGGCCTTTGATGTGAATGTAAGAGCCATTATGGCAACAAAACAAATAGGCAAGGGACAAACAGCTCTCAACGACTTTTGGGCAGCGATGAACGTGTCCCATCGTGGCCTCCCATCACAAGACCTTTCAAAAGCACCTGAAGAAATTCAGGGAACCGCAGACACAATGCATAGAAAATTTCTATGCAGAATCTGCTTCTGCTGTAAAAACCACTTACAAAGAAATGGATCAATATTTCACCAGGGATATAACAGTTTGTTATGATGGAACATGGCACAAGCATGGGCACACATCCCATATTGGAGTCGAATACCATACGGGCCTTATCTTGGACGCCGTTGTTGTGTCTAATCAGTGCCTTGGTTGCCAAGTAGGGCCAGAGCCTGGAGACGCAGACTATGCATGCTGGCTGGAGAATCATGTGTGCCAGAAAAACACTGACTCTAAATCAGGGAGAATGGAGGTTGAGGCAGCTATCATCCTCTTTTCACGCTCACTGTCGAAGCACAACCTCCGTTACACAACGCTCGTGTCTGATGGATATAGTGCCACCTTCTCTGCCCTTGTACAAGAAAATGTTTATGGACTGGTCCCCATTTCAAAAGAGGAATGCCTGAACCACGTTCAGAAGAGGATGGGGACTGCACTTCGCAACCTTGTGCAGAAAAGTGGCAAGGCTTTGGGAGGGAAGGGCAGGCTGACAAAGGCCCTCATCGACAAGTTGACAGATTATTATGGCTGGGCCCTACGGAACAATTCCGATGATGTGGCTGCAATGCGGCGGGCAGTGATGGCATCGTACCACCATGTGACGTCGACGGATGAGGAGCCGCACCACGACTTGTGCCCAGAGGGTGCAGACTCCTGGTGTCGTCACAATGCCAGCAAGATTACCGGTGTTCCACCTCCGAAGCATTCGTACAAGCTGCCACGCTATGTTGCAGATGCACTTCTACCCATTTATAAGAGGCTCTCACAGGCTTCTCTTCTGCAACGCTGCCTGGGAGCAAAGACGCAGAATGCATCAGAGTCCTTTCACTCTGTGCTGTGGTCCCTCATGCCCAAAGAGCAGCATGCGTCACTGATTGCTGTGGAGACAGCACTGCATGATGCAGTGCTAAGATACAATGCTGGCTG